CTGCCATAACGTATTCATACAACCGGGGGCGGTTCTAGATTTCCCCCGATACAGGGCCTATATTTTTACTTTTAAAAACGGTCCGCGGTGGCATTTGCATGAAACAGTCCCCGAGGCCGGCCCTGACTCTTTAAATGAATTTCGAGTAGCACTCGCTCCGACGAAATCAACATGCACACCACTTTCAGGGATAGTTGAGTCGGCGGTGGCTCTAGAGGAGATGGGAACAAATCTAATCAATCAGGGAACGAGTTCTTCCTGCCAAATTTTAGCGCTCCGGGCCGTGATATATACGCCTCTAGTTTTTTATACACTCACTTGGATGGACCCTAACATACAGACGAACTTCTGTAATAGGAACATTTACGTTTCAAGTTATTTTGTAAAAGGCTGTTAACCTAAAAAGTCGAGTAACCTATTTTCGACATGTCACAGCCAGCAATATTGGAAATACCATTGGAATATTAAATTCCGAGTAGAACTCATTTTATCGTATGTATTTAAATTAAGCTTTCCTGAATAAATTTTTGAAATGTCTTCACTGTTTCAGGAGGGGCAACATTATTTAATGATTTTTGAAGTGACGTTTAACTTTTTTTGGTATCCTAATACTGTCAGAACTAAAAAATCACATAAATTGTAAATAATAGGAATATACAGGGTGAGTCACTAAGCGCGCGTTCCTCGATATCTCATTAATTATTAGAAACATAAAAAAAGTTTAGATTGACCTCCCCTTAGTCTTTATACAACCACAGTTTATTTTTGAAATAACAATGCGATGCTGTCACGTTATTCTATTTTTTTGAAATTTTTTGACAAATTAGCATACTGGAGCACCATGTCCAAATATTGTCATCTACATGAATTTATAAAAATTCCCAAAAATCATCACTGTTGATATTTTTATCAATTTCATTTTTATTTAAAGAAAGAACACATCAATTATTCTATTGACGAAATTTTAGCTGTCAGGTTCTAAAACTTACTTCGTCAAAAAATTTTAAACTCTAAGGTGGCAATATTTTGCGTAGATACTTTATAATCCGCCATTTTACCGGAAACTTATTTTTTCTGAAAATCTTTACCTCCTCCCCAGAGGCGGCATAAAGAACAAGAAAGTTGATGCCGACGATCAATCAAAACGTTTTACGAACTTAACGTAAGCAAGTAATTAACGAAAACGTTTGTTCTCTTCTTGACGGTTGTAAATAATTTAATTTTCATTTAACGACAAGATTAATTATTTGTATGAAACAATAACGAAAACTGACAGATGATTTGTAAATAATGATGGGAGTAAAATTCAATTGTCGTTAATAAATCTTCCAGAAAGAAATGGCCTAGTTTTTGGACAGCCACTGGGCGTTGAACTTGGGTACGCTACAATCGGATCAATGGATATACTAATTGTTTCTACAACGTGATATGTTCAGTTGTGATGCAGTTTTATTTTATGCTCTGCTTTGCGACCCTTCCTCGTAAAAATCACCGGTTAATTTAATGTATTTGGAAATCGGTTCCAAAAAGCACTGTACTAGACGTAGGTTGCCTGTTGGTGTTATTGTCGATTTTGGGGTGGTTAATTCAATGTGTGCATATGTTTACTAGCTTCTGTGAAAAATTAAACAAAATTGTTATTAAGTATACCTATAGTCTTTATTTAGGGGAATCTGGATGCCTAGGGTAAAAAGTCAAGGCGGCTTCGTAAACCAGAAGTATAGGAGCATGTTATTTTATAAAATTTAAAAGATAGTCATTTCTAAATTGTAGGGTGTAGAACTGTATAAAAATTCGGTCATCCGGTTTCCATGTTTATTGTTGAATCCTCTATACCTATAACCAGGAAGTTATAATTTAGAGCAGATATTTTGCTTTGACGCTAATTGAAATGCGTAATTTGAAGCGATCGGAGTCGAGTATTAATTTATCGCCAACTTTCCTCCGTCGTTTGCCTGCGATTTATAACCAAAAGTGGATGAGAGCATTGAATTAGTTAATCCATTACAATTTTAATGAGCATGATGCCGCCGCTTCACGTTTGCTTGTTGCAAACAAAGCCTCGAACACGTAGGATTATGTTGAGCAGTCTAATAAAAAACCTTTATGTGTAGTGAAGCTCAAAAATCCGCAATAAAAACCCAAGCAACCCACCTCCGCTCGATTTCTACATTCCATGTTGCGTGTTGTAAAACATGCTCACATTTCCCAATAATAAATTCCATTAACAAAAGACCGCAGAATAACATTCTTATAAATTAACAAATGTTCAGTTCACAACAAGTCCGCAATTCGGAACCATGTCTCGTTTCGCGCCGGCCTCCCCTAATTGCGTGCCGTCGCTGGCTTTGTGCCGGTGCCGTCTTTTATTGTTGTTATTATAAACAATATAAAAATTCCGGACGCGCTTTATGAAATACCGCCGGAACATTTATCAGTGGACTCTTCGCAGTGGTTATCTCTCGGCGGCTGTTATTGTTCTGCGTTTCGTATGTATTTATACAAGGACTCCGGGTGGATCGGTTTTTAGTCGCCACAACGCTCCGGGAACTACTGCTAAGAGATATATGAACTCTTTTTGTGTACACCGAGCGAAATCCTGAGAGCACCGCACCTTCTCGGCTTGAATTTATATCGCGCGAAACGAAGTCCTATTGTGACGGTTGTGGAGACTTCGATTTAAAATCGCCCGAACTGAGCAAAATTGTAGTTTAGAGACCATAGATATACCACAATTTGTGAGAACGTGAACCTTGGGATTTTATTGTTGCTTTCCGCCTTTGATGACATCAGCGACTTTCTGGCCGAGAAGAATAAATAAATTTTAGTTGCAAGCGTTATGTGTTTATTACACTTTCGTTCGTTTTCACTAATACCGATTGTAATCAAGTCCACGACCCCTAAAGTACGAAGAAATGGGTCTCCCGTTTCCGTCTGCCCGTCCGTCAGAGCGTGAATTATGAGCAGAATTTTGGGATAAGTACAAAGCTAACAAGACCAAATATTGACAAACTCCACCTTCTAGGTCTAGATCTAGACTCTAGAGCGTAAGTCTGAAGCCAGTTTTTTGGCCAGTGTACACATTTTTAGCTCGCAATATAGGTATATATTTATACAAGGCTCGGTGTATCGGTTTCTAGTCGGGCGAGCGCTCTGGGAACCACTTGCTAAGAGATATATGAACTCTTTTTGTGTACACCGAGCGAAATCCTAAGAGCGTCTCACCTCCTCCATCTGAATTTATACCGCGGCGCGCTCTTGCCGCTGCTTTATTTTTCTTATTAGTCGTATTTTTCGTGGCTTTGCGCGTACACGGAATACGTTATGCCGTGCCGAGTAAATTGTGTGTTACAAATACTGATTAGATGCGCTTCCCCGGAACCTACACAGAAAAAAGCCTAATCTAAACGGTCTTCAAGAATCATTACGCCGTCGTCAGACGAGAACGGCGATAAGATCTCTTTTGTAGGTGGCACTGTATTGCCCGTATCTTCCTTTGACATGTTTCGTTTTATTTATGAGCGTCTGGCCGGGAATTAATTTCGCCGCCCTATCGGACTCTTTTTTGATCGTTTGCTCTGTCACCAATTCACATGTGTTTTCTTCGTGTTACCAGCTGCAATTAGCGCAATTAAGAGAACGCCGCTGTCTGGAGCAGACTGCTTTAATTCAATTTTCCAATTTACACCGTCATGATGCCATACGAGGCGGACGTTTGAGTCGAAACACTCGAAAGCTGGACTCGCTGATAAGATCCATGCCGATCATTTAAGCGCCCGTATCTCCAATTATATTCGTTATTTCCAATTGTCACTAACGAGACCGTTTTATGGATTATTGTTCTGTAGAGGCGACACGTTGCGACTCCTGTATCTGATCTAAAATTTGAATAATTTGCGACAAATCGCGGTGTTACAATATTGCTGTGCGATAACCGCAAATATGTACCAATTATACCACAGGAAATGTTGGCTCGCTTTGATATTATCACGGCAGGATTTATATTCAATCCTGCTACGCTCTCTTCGGAAAACTTTACAAATAGAGAGAAAATAGTTCAGTTTGAAACTCACAAACACCAGACACCATTAACATAAAACATAACAATGAGAAAAATCAGCAATACTGTTCTAAATGCTTCAGCTAGAGAGATCAAATTGATATTCCGGTAGGTAGAGTTTAAACTTCTAGAGTTCAAAAGAAACTGAACACAATTGCAATTCAAGATCGAATAGTGATAAAGATAAAAATAAACAGAGCAAAAGATTATGTTGTCAAATTAATCAATGATTACAATATCGTTTTGATTGAAACTTGTTGAATTAGGTAGTTAAATCTGGTGTTCCGCCAGGATCCGTCTTCGGACCTATGTTTATAACAGCATTAATGATCTAAATTTAATTATAATTGGGAACTGCAATTGTGCTTAGAGTCACTTTGGATACATAAGTAGTCTTTGAAGCGCATGTTACCAAACTGTATAAAGGAATTTCGTTCGTGTTATAGCAGGATTAGGTTATAGGGATGACTGCAGAGAATGATTTAAACGTCTCAATATTATGACAGTTCCATCAACTTATATTGATTACTGTTTAATGTACGTCAGACTTAATGCAAAGAATTTAAATCTTACAAACATAAACATGACACTCGACATATGGCTTCTTTCAAACTTCCAAAGACTAATGAGCACCAAAACTGCGCTATTATTATTGTAGCATCAGTAAAAGAATAACCCGAACGTAGTTTTTTAAAGAAGAAAAGGATGCGAAGCCTCAACATCTCTTCATCGTCGCGTCGCCCGACGACATGGCGTGCCTATGAAAATAAAAACCCAAGTAAAAACTATCCAATTTCCTTCGCGTGTTCAGCCGTAATTCTCCCACCGCTTATTTTACTTCCGAAATTCCAAAAACTTTATATTAAATGCATGTCGCATAATCAAAAAACCGTCGACAAATTGCCTGCTGCACATAATTAATTCTCTTTTTTTGTTCCAGCTACTGGTTTTGCACCTGCTACTTTTGGGCCTATTCGTAACACCAATTACTGCGATGAGCAGCGTCGGCTGTCCCATCGGATGCGTCTGCAACGACGAAACTTTCGTCGTCCTGTGTGAAAGGAACAAACTGGACGTACTACCAATTACTTTGAATCCAGCCATCCAGAGACTCGTCCTGAGAAACAATAAAATAAAAACTGTGGACGCCGCTTTCCAGTTTTATAAAGACTTGCAATACGTGGACTTGTCTAGTAATCACTTAGTGAATATCCCGACGAAGAGTTTCATGTATCAAGAGAAACTGCAAGAACTCCATTTGAACAAGAACAAGTTGTCGTCGATCAACAACAAGACCTTCCAGGGTTTAAAATCGTTGACTGTGTTAAATTTGAGGGAAAATTTTCTGGAGGAGCTACCTCAAGGCCTATTCTCTATAATGCCGAAACTAGAAGAACTGAATCTGGGTCAGAATAGAATCTCGAAAATTGATTCCCTAGCCTTTGATGGTTTAACGGCTTTACGTGTGCTGTATCTCGACGATAATGTATTAAGTGCAGTGCCAACATCGTCTTTCTCGGTTCTGGGAAGTTTAGCGGAACTACATGTAGGGCTAAACGCGTTTTCAGTCTTACCAGATGACGCTTTCAAGGGTCTCGGGAAACTTTCAGTTCTGGACTTGAGCAGCGCGGGACTCTCAAACATAAGCTTACACGCTTTTCGAGGTCTAAACGGATTGAGAAACCTAAATCTAGTCGACAACAAGCTACAGCGCATACCCACCACGCAATTAAGTCACCTTGTCCGATTAGAGGAACTATCTATAGGTCAAAACGAGTTCATCTCAATCGAAAAGAACTCTTTCAAAGGATTGAGCAATTTGAGAAAGTTAGACATAACCGGTGCCCCTAACTTACAAAAGATAGAAAAGGGTGCTTTTAGTGATAACCTGAATCTAGAATTCATCGTACTAGCCAGCAACAAGAAACTAGAAGAATTGGAAGACGGTGCTCTTGTCGGTTTGCCAAATTTGAAACACTTGGTTTTGAAGGATAACGCGTTTAAGGCACTTTCTGAGTCCATGGTCTCTTGGAACGAGCTGCGCTCGTTGGAAATGACGGACAACCCCATCTTCTGCGATTGCCATCTACTGTGGTTGAGCAACTTGATCTCGGTGAAGAATTTGAGCAACGTTCAGTGTTCGATGCCTCTTGCTCTGCGCGAACGCCCCTTGAGAACTCTCACTCCTGACGACTTGGGGTGCTCTTTTCGTGATCCTCGACAGCAGGCCATTTTGGTGACTTTATGCGTGAGTGCGGTGGTTCTGTTGGGCGGTTTGGGCTTGTTTCTCTTCCGGTATCGTCAGAGGGTTCGCGAAGCTCTGAAGGACTACAAGTGGAACAAGAGGGCAATCAGCAGGAAAGAGCACGAGTACCAGAAGACGTTCTCTGACGATGATTACATTGTCCGTTCCGCTCAGCAGGGCATCAAGCCGATACCGGTGACGGAATTGTAGCTAGAGCTAAGCGCGCCGCCCTCAGGGGTTTTCTGTTTGGACGGAGGCGAGGGCAGGCGTGCTAGAGCTCCGCGCGGGCCGGGGGGCACTCTCCCAGTCACAGGCTTTACCTACATCACCGGCGACTCGTGCAGGGCTCACTCCTTGAGGACCCTGAACTCGGACAGCAGGAACGGATTTCCGCGATGTCATAGGGACGTCTACCAACATTAGCCGAGGACTATGAGCGTTTTTACAATTTTTCAGCAATAAATGAATCCATTCCAAAATGTGATTTACGAAATACATAGACTGTACAGTAGGTTTTAAGTATATTTTTCTCGATGTCTGACATGTCACGGCCTGTTTTACGAGGGACCATAACGCGGCAGCTTTGGAAGACTCATAAAGCAGGTTATAGTATGGACATACAAATCAATTAAGGGGTGACGCTACCATTTGTCGTGTTCAATATTTGTATGTCTATCCGCTACATTCACATTGTAATTCCAGTGTGCGAAACTGTTCTATATCCCAGTGTCTGGACACGTGAATTATGATGAAACGAAGAGAGTGATGTCTATCATATGATACATACAATGATCTAAGAATAAAAGAATGTGATATTTAATGACTGCACACGTTTAGATGCCGGTTAGGTGTACATAATGGGAGAACTCGGTGGTAGTTATATTTTAACGGTTCGAAAATTCCCCTGATTGTGTTCAAAAGCCACTACATTTTTGATACGTAAAAAGTTCTCGATTACCCGTGGGTTTAAATGTTGCGGTCATACAAATAACACACCAGATTTGATATTTTCAACTTACGTGAAAATATTTAAATCGATGTACATACATGTACCATGCAATATTTCTATATATTTTGTATATATTCTAAATTTTAGAGATGTAGAAGAGTATTTATTAATTTTCTATTGTGTGATCGATTTTACGAATAAGAAGAGGAAATATTGCATTCCAAAAGCTGAGTTATTTTGTGAGTGATTGTGACCGTTTTATGTAAACGAAACCAGTAAATTAATTAAATGCCAATAGATTAATTTCCACAAGTCTTTAAGCGTACATTCTCCAGATTTTGTATACAAAATTGTGTAGTGCTGAACACAATTCATGAACTAGTCATAGTTAAATTATTATACCTAGACAGAGAGTGAATGTTTTTTGTAATTTTGTGTGTAAAAACAAAGTGCATTTTATATTGTAAATAAACATAGTGTTTTGTACATATTGACTCTAACCTTAACTATCAATATTTACAATAAATAAACTATTTCAGATCTTTAACGGAAGTTTTTATGTAAATTAGTTATAGAAAGAAAAATAAATCAACGCCCTACAATTCCACGATTATATCGTCATGTTTATTCAGAATATTCAGATTACTTTTCATGAAAGTTGAACGCATACTTTTGTTGCTGGAATAACCCGTCCCGTAAGAGTTCTTATTTAAACTTGTTCAAAACTTCGTGCTTTATATTAGTTTGAAATTCATATTTATTCTTTGGAATAGTCTAATAAATATTTAAAGAGTTCATAGACATACCTATGTTGCACTAAATAAATATGTCATATACGTTACTACACAGGATCGCAGACTATAATCAAAAAGTTTCATCCTGAAGTCGATTAGAACTAATACAAAAGTTTGTTAACTCAGGGAGTTACCTTTAACAAAAAGTATATGAGTAAAATCGTCATTAGAATTACGTAGGTAGTTTGATATTTTTAAATCTAGACAAATTATTGAATTAGAGATCATTGTGTACCATAAGTTTGGTAAAATTCGCAAGTAGTACGTAAATTTACCCTACAATTTAAAAGGTATTCTAAAGAATGTACAAAAAAACACAGGTAAGTAAAGTAAAATTTAAAATCTTATTAAATTTAAATCAGTGAATCTGGTAGTCGTGATTTATTTCTAATGCTTCATTTAAAAACTTGATAACTTCTTTGAGTAGAAGAAATTAACTTTTTTTTACGTGGAACTTATTGTTATTAGAAATATGTCTTAATATCAACAGACACCAATAAATATATATTTTGAATTTGTTGTCACAAACCTGTGTTTTAAAAGGAATTTGTATGAGAGATGTCATAGCAGTTTCTCTGTAAAACTGGAATTTATTGACGTTGAATTGGAGTAAACAATGTAACTGATTAAGAAATTTAAAAAATATAAAAACCGATCGTTCTAATACGATTTAACCGCAATAATGTAAATATTTATATAAAACACGTGTTGGAAATTCACTCTTACCTAAGTTAATTATATTTTCACACTTCATAATTTCTCACTCGAGACTTAAAACACTTCATTAGTGGCATTTAACTAGTCTTAAATATTGATCTATTTTGAGCGAAAGGATTCCAAAGTTAAATTAAAATATCATCGTGGGTTAGAAAACAGGAATGCTTAAATATGTTCTTACAAATTTAATAACTTCTTACAGCTTGAATTTGAAAATTTATTCTAGAATTATTATTTTGATTTTGATCCTAATGAAGATGTATGTGTCTATTTCATTTGGTTCATATGTACTTTACTTTATGTGAATTAATATATAATTTGACATCACGTAAAGTCCTTGTTGTTTAAAATTCTTGATAGAGTGTGGCATAATGAGAGCTTGCGTATGTCCTCGCTTCCTTTGATTCCTTTTTCTTTCAAACATCTGTAAAGTACCTACTGCAAATACCCCTTCTGGTGTGAAGCACAATCTATATCGCAGGCCTTACATTTTTCGTCAAAATTATTTAATCACTGTTTTAGAACTGCCTAAAGATCTGTCTGGAGAATGTCTGGAGTTTAGGTATTTAGATACCTAGAGAACAATTAAAAACTCACTTAATTTTTGAAAGTTTGTCTTTACCCGTTGCATTTTCAGATTAAACTTTCGAATTAACGGTAATTTGACAAGACGAAAATTTTGTCTCGGTATATTAGCTCTAATATATACCTAGTAACACTAATAATAATAATAATAACGTCACTGCAATTACGTAGTTTCAAGAAAATTACCTCATCGTTTCAGATATTACTTTTTCCCAGAACCCCTGTGCAATAGTTCTAAAAATGAAAAAATACGACCGAAGTATAAGCAATATCTCATCTTAAAAGCTCATTTATCCTTAAGATTTTACTTTTATTACTTTTTGATAGTGAATTTTTTACTACCACTTAAATTTTTCCATTTTCATGCAGCTGTACATCATAACATTAATATCAATATCGAAACATGTTCCTGAAGCAGCGGTTCTATAACAAAAAAAACTCCATAGATGACCAATCACTGCTAATACAGTAGGAATGGTGGAAAAAGTACTACAAACTCTTGACCACGCTTTTTATGAGTATTTTGACCCCAATGCTTCAAAGTTCGCCATACCGTGAGCCATGCGTTACAGCCTGCTGAAGGACAATACGCTCACCACTGTATTTTTGTTTGTAAATAACACCTACAAGATCGAAGCTTTTTAGCGAGACGCCAGCTGGGTTTAAAAGTCATTAAAACGTTTTACGAACGTGGTGCATCCAAAATTTTTTACGCAGTGTTGTCATGGAAATATATTTTTTTTATTGAAGCAAAAGGAACATCTCAGAATCGTCGATGAAAATATAATTCCCCATAGCAACATTAAAATAATGACCGGAAAAAATGTAATTTGATAATAAATATTGACGTCAAAAGGTCACTTTTTTATATTCCACAAAAAATTGCTTTTACATGTCGTATTAAAATAAAACAATGATGCGTATGTAAATCCTGTGCGGAAAAGTGATCCAGTTTGTTCTGGAACTCTTTACAGTTACCGGTAGATAAAAAAATTGTACGTTTTAGAGCGACACCTAGTGGTGCCTCAACAAAGCTAACACGCTCCTCATGACACTTCCCTCAATTTTGTTATTAATACCAAATTTTGTCATGTATACATTGTGCATTTAGTTTGATTTAGTATAACAAATTAGATGTTAACACTTGTTTAAATTAAAAGGAATGATATTTCAACGTCGTACAGATTTCTATTCCCTAATTGTACGAATGTAGTAAAGAGGTCGCTACAGTTACTAATGTATTGAAGTTTTCACACTGTCATTAAATGCGCTTTTCATTCGACATCACTTTGTTTTTCTGGAAGAAAATCTGTAAGTGACTGTGAACATGTCTGGAGTTTTAACAGAGACAGTAGAACCCGGTGATTTAAAAGTAAGTTTTTGAAAAAAATACTTCATTAACAATGACATTACATTGTAATCGCATTTTCCTCTAAATTGAGAGGTGAGTCATAAATATAATGAAAATGTAACACTGATTACAGAAATTTGAGAAAATTTATCATGAACAATTGTATAAGAACGATGTCACACCTAAAGCTCAGTTTGAATACGCCTGGTGTCTAGTACGGAGCAAGTATCCAGCTGACATACAAAAGGGCATAATTCTATTGGAAGATCTTTACAAAACACATGAGGAAGGGCAGAGAGACTACCTTTACTACTTGGCAATTGGAACTGCAAGACTGAAAGAGTACACGAAAGCTTTGAATTATGTCAGGTCATTCCTGCTCATTGAGCCAGGTGAGGGTAATCACAAAACCAAAATAGTTGTATTGACAGTGGCATGTAGGTAATCAACAAGTCATCGGTCTCCAACAAACGATAAAGAAGAAAATGGAAAAAGAAGGTTTAGTTGGAATGGCAATGGCTGGAGGTGTTGTCTTAGCTGTTGGTGCGATAGTTGGGGTAGGAATGGCTATTGCAAGCAAAGTTAAGTCTTAGTGCTTCCCACATATCAAGTGTGATGATAGTGTTACCATTTTTTACATATACCAAATTGCCTTTTTCCTTGAGTTAACTATGTTTGTTACATTGATTGCATAAAAAGTTATTACATTTCATTTTGTTCTGTTTTCTTTTATTGCAATGTATTGTTCAGTTATGGTTAAAGCTTAAGTTATATATATCATTGTGTCAAATAAAATTGCTGTAGAGTGTTGTAAAAAATTATTTTTGTACACTTTTCTACTTTATTTATATGTTTAGCACACATCTGTTTAAAAATTTTAGCACAAGAAGTAAATGTCAACACGAAATAAATACAGGCCATATCTTTATAACACTTAAAATATTTACTTCTTGACGTAGTAGACTGTAAAATTATATGAGTCTGATATGTATAGATATCTAATAGTTTTGTAGGTTTTATTTAATGGTAAAATATTTAATTTTTAATCACTGTAAATTGCTATGTATAAATAAAGGTTTGTCTAAATGTGTCTCCATCACTAAGTAAGTATTAGTGACCAAAGTCCACTAATATGTTCTAATATTTCCAAAGTAGTTAAATTTAACAGCAATTTTGCGATAACCGTAACGATTTTTGTTTTAAGTGTAAATATAAGAGGTAGATTATTCAACCACAGTTAAAAGAGCAAGTTATGGCATATCTAAAGCCAAATTTACATCAAAAAATAGTCCACCGTCGAGTAGAGTTTAAAAACATCCAGCAGATCAGTATACTGTGATAACCCAAATATCCAAATCCAAATAAAATTTTAAAAACCCCGAAAAATACAAAAATTCGCGTTGAACTGTGATCGTCAACAAAATTGGAATCCTTACGTTGTGTGTTTTTTTTATGGCGATATGCGTTCAAATGCAAAATGGAGTCAAGCCCTCAAGGTTGGAATAGCGACCCTAAATCGTCCACAGTATATGGAGATCAAAAATGGTTTATTGCTCCATTCTGACAAAAAAAGAAAAACAAAGGTGTGACCAAGTGCACTTTGGGTAGTAGGTTGTAGACCCCATAGTTCTCAGTTACAAAAAAACTGCCTAGCTTTCGAAATGAAATCAAATCAAACGTTCCGAATCAATGCAAATATTTGAATTTTACAAGTTAAAAAAAGGGAAATCTAAACTAAAGCAACTGGATGCAAGTACACAAGTTATTACGAATGTGTGACGATAAATTTAAATTATGGCAGTCAAGAACTCAGCAGACGAGCGGAATTTCAGTTCCTCGTCGTAGTCTGTCACTCTTCCTTGGTCTCTAGACAGATATAACACATACTCCACATTTCTGTGTCCAAAAACCTGCCGCATATTATACTCTTTACCCGGTCTGCCCAAACTAGCCAGCTATTGCGCCGACGCTGGTTTCCCCATGAAGTTTCAATTCAAGATCTAGTTGGGCAATGACAAACCCACAGAAGTTAACTAGAAACCGTGTGTTCCGCTTTCGCCACACAAACTTATTGTATATGTAGTTATATTTTTTCATAAATTAACAACAATACTTTTAACACTTTAAAATCTTTCTCATCAACAATTATGATTAATCTTTTTCTCCTCACTTTCTGTCACTCATCATTAGGACTTCAATTGGACACTATTTATTCATTTTTGACTAGCCTAAATATCTGACGCATTGCACTTCAAATATGTATACTACTCCGTTTCAAACCACTAAAAGCCTATTATCGTATTTTTTTGCAAGGCTATAACATATATGGACTTTTTGATTTTTTTTAACTATTTTTACGGTAATTAGCATCCGAAAGTCTATCAGACTCATCTGTTTATTTTAATACCGGTTTTTCATTGCAGGCCTGTGCCTTTAAGTACGCTTACGGTAAGATTAATTTTTCTTTAAACAGTGACTTTTTTATGAAAATACAAACTAAACTTAACCCAGATACCCTTAATGCTCACCACGTGGTTGCACTCATACCAATATTTCAAATCGGGACACCACAGCATTACGATTATTAAATTGGCAACGTAAGTTTCAGGGAACGATAAAACTGATATCACCATATATCTATTACTCTGGATATGTGGATATAGGATACTTCTGTGTTTATGAAGAATGCGTTTGTCTAGCCAACATTATTAGATACAGAATTCAGATAAGTTGGGAATTAATACAAGGGCAAAAATACGACATACATAAGTACATAACAAATTATCATCCTTATAAAAGTAGTAATATTTCGTGTCAGGTTTTTTGCTTCCAACGGTTGTTTGTTTCTAAGGTAGTCATCTGACGTCATAGTCATAAATCATAACAAACATACTGGAATACTAGAAATACATGTTTGCTGACGACATACTTAGTTATTGATCTAGAAGGTGGGTTAAAAAAGCTCTGCATAGATTCCTATTTTACTTTCACGAGTTTTATTAAAGGGATTACAAGATGTCGCCTCATCTAGTTTCCGTAAACGAAACTAGATCTAGGGGAAAAGGTAAATGATAGAGATATTTGTCTTTCTCCTTATTTTCGTGCATAAATTCTAGTAACACTTGTAACGCTTGCTCTAATTAAAACATATAGGATCCACATACGGTGCCAGCAAAAAAATGGTAGAACGAAAAGTTCCCAAAAATATTATGCCAGGATTTTTGTAGAAAATAAATACTGCGAAAGAAATTATAATGTCAAGTTACAAATTTCTGTAATGCAAGACAATTAAATGTCAGTCTTTTTCGATTCGTGTTTAGGGTCATACGTTTCTTGTAACTGAAATTTTAATGAACATTTAAATAATTTTAAGTATTACGTATTACAGAGTAGATACATTATACTCCTACTAAATAAATACATATAAGAAGTTGAACTTCACGTGAAAACACTCTCCTAAATATGTAAAGATGAAAGCCACATTCAATAATAAGATTAATCGCATAATTCGCATATAAAAATAAAATTACATAATAGAATAAAATAATAGTGTGATAACTGATAACCCAAACATCCTGCCTTAAATTGACATGTGAAAAAAAAAAATAAAGTCCACGAAAAATTCAAGAGAACAAAATTTTCACACAACTCTATGCAGCTGTAGCGGCACCGGAGCGCTATTAGAGTATGGCGATTAAACTATATCAATTTCGTTTTAGAGCACAGCTAATCCATAGGGGGCGTTGTAGAACGAGCGGAGTTTGGGGCTCCTCGTCGTAGCTGTTCTCCCTCCACGACGGTGATTCTATTCTATTGCAAAGCACGGACGCCCAAGAAACGTGCCTAGACTAGCAGGCCGTTACGGTCGTAAACTCGTGGTTGGGTCTCGACTATTGAGCCAAGTCGACAGCGTCACGTCATCTCGACCGCTCCTGACTTCTATCCTAAATCTGACAGCTCGACAAGGAACCGCGCACTCCACTTCCGCCAAGTGTTATTGTATTATTTAACTTCAATTCCATTTAAATGTTCAATTTCTATAATTCTGACATTAAACTACAACTGAACAAGTGTTAAAGTTCAAAAAGAGCAATAAACTACATTCAAATTCGGCACACACTCTCGCGAAAATTTAAACAGCAAATAATAATTGCTATTTGAGAATAAGATTGGACATCAGATAATTTATAGCATGGAAACGTTCATAACAAATTATTTACATGATCAAAACTAGCAAAGATTAAAATAAAAGATTTGGTGTGAAGTAAAACTTGTGTAAACAAAAAAAAAAAAAAATTACGTGAAGTTAGAAACTGCCGGGCATGAAAATTTACGTTCAATTTAAATTATACAGCAAAGAAAATTATTGAGGCTGAAATTGTGAGATAGAGAAAAATTGTATGAGGTGAAAAATTGCAAAGCTAACAAAATTACATGAGGTCAATATTTTATGTCCAATCGAGTTACTGGTTAATTTTTAAAAGTGAAATTATTCAGCTGCATTGTGAGCCATCGTTTTACATTCCCCTAACAAACAAAAAACAAATATAGCAGGCAATCTGGAGGTTCAAAATGGCGTCGGACGAATGCGTCAAAAATTATGTCTCTCAGAAATGTGATCAATCCTGTGGCGTTGTGCAAATAATGGTCTAAAGCAAAGGAATAAAATGCATGTCCCACGTGACCCACAATGTTGTCAACTTGTTCAATGAGATTTTACAGTTCAAACATGTGCTCGGTTTAAAGATACTCTTTCAACATGGCCCCTGTCAGAACAAAGAATTTACCTGATGTTAAATTATGCCACACTTTATCAACGGTTCAGACAAAGAAATTACATTATGTTAAATGATGCCTTGATCCAAGTGATTGGTTACTTATAACAATTAGCTTTGAGAGTTTATATCGTGAACTGTCCTCAGCTTATTCCAAACAAAACACATGATAAATAAACAACATAAAATGTCTCCGGCGTTGCGAGAAAAGCTTCTCGGTGATGTAATTTTTCACGTTGCGCGAAAATGTATCTCGGTGATATACCTTTCCACGTTGCGAGAAAATATCTCGGTGATGTGATGATAATATGACGATAATAACGATGATAACTGCCTAAAAGGAAAAATGTATAATCCCCCGTACCTCAGTCCACGATATTATGAATTCTACCGTACCTTCACGGTCTTTTTCCCAGAGTGGGGCACCGTTAGGTTGATTAACTGCCGGAAATGAACGATTATCAAAATTGCGTGAGTAATTAAGAAGTGTTATAATGTAACATTTAAATATAAGCATCCAGAAACCTGATTCATAATTCGGTAAACAAAGAATGAGTGACTAAGTGAATTTCATGAAATCTCCTAGCAAGTGTTTATCTAAACAAATTCCTGATTGTTAAATTGTGTTAGAACTATATAGTTAACGATTAAACTCCTAACATGAACTGTGAATTTACAAACAATAAAACAAATGTACATACGTGTTAGTGTCGGTCGAAAATTCGCCTATTTCCGCTTGAAAAACCGCAAGAATTAGTTACGCGTGTTGGGGAAAACTGTGGTAGCGTCGTCGTTACGATTAATTTTCGTTAAACAAAGGCTTCCTCCTTTTTTATTAACTACCAAACCAACTAAACTTAACCTAGCTAACTCACAACAAACACACCAAAAGTGAAGCCTCACACCTTCCTACCAAGCCAGCATCTTCTACCAACCCTAGCACTACCAACCCTCTAACTAAAATTCCAAGCATAACTACCAACTAACAGGAAAAGAACTAAACGATCACATGGTTGCCTATGTTGAACGATTTTCTTGATTGAATTTCTTTCAAATTCAAATTATTCAAATGTGATTTCGCGCCGCTGCGCTGTTAATTTTTTTTAGTGCGAAATTTTAATTCATGTTCGGTCACCACAATAGAATAAATAAAATTAAAATTATTCTTATAGTTACCTCCTTCATAAGTACCAAATACATTCATTTTGTGCAACATTAACTACAGTTTTTACACCTACACATAGCTAGCTACAATAGTTATTTATGTATCAAGGATATTATAATTTCCTTGAATTTAAAGAACGAATTGAC